TCCAGACGGACCATAGATCCCTCCAATGGGTGGGGAAGCTAAAGGAATCTTCCGCAAGGGTAACGAGATGGAAAGAGTTTCTGAGTCAATACAATTTGGAAATTGTAAACAAAACAGGGAGGGAAAATATTGTGGCCAATATATCCCGGGCGATAATGGTAAACGCGATAGAAGAAGAGAGAGGGGAACCATCTGGGGATGTCAGGCAGTTGATGCGAGAATGGACACCCGAAGGAGAAGGAGAACGAAGTATGCAAGAAGGCAACGAGGAGACCCAGGAAGAAGAAACTTCTATGGACGAAAGACCCTTAGAAATAGAAGAGCTAGCAGAAATTATTAATGACAAGTGGCAAAAATAATGATTTTTACTTTCACTACCTATACATGGAATATATTGTAAGGAAAAGTTTTGCAATCGTGAATCTGAGTTTTCAACGGAAATACACATTTTGAGGTCTCCTGAATCTAAATAACCAAGTTCCGCCAAATGGTCTATGTGTGTTATCAGTCTAGCTCAAAAATTAAAAGTTTTACGAAGATGATATTACATATTTAAGATAGGTATATGCCTCGGATGTGACAGACACTTTTTCGTAAAATGGATTAACCCGAAGTGGGATTTTATATCAATTTTATATTTTATACACATTTTAACAATTTTTTCAAATACATCTCCAACCATTTTGATTAAACTTGGTGTATCATTGTATAAATAAGTGGTCTTTAATATCGTTGAGGTTGTATCTCCATTGATGACACTTTACATGGCTTAAATGCTTAAAAATTCAACATGTCTTCCTTTAAAGTACCTTTGATTTGGTTTATTTTAAATAATTAACTATCTCTCATTATTAAGAATTACTAAAAAATGCTAAATATAACTTTTGAAAGAATTTAATAATTAAAAAATGAAGAAAAAAGGGAAAATGTTTATTTAGGTCGAAAATGAATTTCTGAGAATACTAGTCAGAAGGTATACTTATAATAAATATTGTTGGAAAGTTGAGAATTTTAGAAAAAAAACAATCTCTAATATAGAAAGTCATAAAAGTAATGGAGAGTGACAAAAAATTATCATTAATAATCTGTCAAAACTAATATTATTTATTGGAAATCACGTTTTCAAGAAAATTCATTGAAATTTAGTAACTGAATGTAAAATTTTAAAACTTTTTTAAGTTTTAAAAAAGTATTTAAAGTCCACCTAATTAAGCCAATGATTTTGTTTAAAAAACTATTTCATGGACGTATAAAGCATATGTTTATAACCTTAAATACATTTACTGCAGTTTAATAATTCTAGATCTGATATTATATATAAATAATTAGGTATCAACATCCGTTAATTTCCGAAAAATTGTCATGTGACCTTTTAAATTAAATTAAATTAGTGTACAATTTGATGAATTTTCTCTTTGTGAACATTATCCAAAATAAAAACTAATAGGCGTACAATCCATAATCATTTAAAGGTTGAATATAGAGATATATTTACAAATCTCTCTAGGCATAAATATATATATATATATATATATATATATATATATATATATATTGCTCAGCGACTGGAGTTATGTGGTTTACAAAAACAGATAGAGTACCGAGATTTTTATTGTCAACTGTTGATATAATTAATAGGGTTTTTTTTTTATCTTAATGGTTTTAACAATTTGTTAGCTGTAAGCTTTATGCTGTAGCTCCGTTAAATATGCACTTCAAAAAGTTTATAATTGCCTAACATTTCCACAAAATAATTTTTATTTAAAGCAGAGAGATAAGTGAAAGTTGTGTATTGCGTGCACCATATTTTTTAAATAAGTGGTTATGTTTGATTAGTTGTGTTTTCCTTCCATATCTCTGTCATAGGATTTAATACGTATTTCTAAGTGACAACCTTAATGATTCTAGCCCTAATATTTACGTTAACATGAAAATAATTGAAGCAATCAGTAGGTTTCTTTATTTTAAACATAAATTTTAGGACTCGAAACATTATGTTTGCCACTGATAAATGTGGATCAATTCCTATGACAGAAATCTGGGAGAAAAACCAAATTACATAACCACTTTACATGAAAAATCGTTATTTTAAATTTTATTATTTTTATAAATAAAATATATATTTAGGCAATTTCTTTTATTAGAATACAACCCAGATCATGGAAAAACAAAAAATGAAAGCTTTGTAACAGTTAACTGTAGTAATTTTTGTTTAAAACACGTGTACTTTTAGGAGATTGGATAGAAAATCACATCATTTCTTGATACGAATCTCAAGTTTTTGGACAATTAAAAACATGTGCCACTAACAATCCATGAAGGGTCTTGGGTTCAGTACAATGTGAGGAAGTACTGTTACAAGGCGAACAGTTGTGCAGGGAGGTGACGGGCCACTATCACGCTTAACCACCAGATTTTTTCCTTAATTAATAATTTAATTAAGAGTACCCACTTAATAGAGGATGGATTTGCCCCAGGAGGATCTCCCGGCCCCAGGATCGATCCACTGCTGATGAAAAATTACTAGCCATCAGCCGTAATCGAACCTGGGACCTTGAGGCTCTGCAAGTCAGTTCTCAATTTAAATGGATAATAAACCTCAATTTAATTAATATAAACTTAAACCTGGTTAAATGTGGTATTTAAGGTGGGGTAACTGCATTATAGTTGAATGATGATAAAAAAAATAAAAATCGGTCCAGTAGTTTCGGAGAAAATGCGCGGACGGCAGATGGCGGAAGGACAAAAAATTTTTTATTCGTTTTTCGAATTCTACGCGTCTTGAAACGTGAAACCTCAAATTTTGAGAGGGGTTATGTTTTTGAATTTTTTGGTCGATCACAATGTTTCATTATTGAAAATAATAAACCAAAATATGTAAAAACCGCGATATCTCTACTAATAGTGCTTTGATTTCGATGAAACTTCCTTCATTTTTTAGGAAATTTAAATACCTTTGAAACATCTCACAATATCTACAAAAAAGTAAAAATTTTTCGAGTTATTCGGAATTTAATTTTACCATCCCTCGTAACTTTTTTTCCAGCTTCTTTTCATGAAGTATGTTATATAGATAAATTTAAAGGGCGTTGAGAAAATGACTATAGTGAAGTTTCATTGAAATCTGTTCATTCGTTTAGGAGCTAAAGTCTATAGCAACACAGATTTTTCGGCCGCCATTTTGAAAGTTAAAGGCGGAGAGTAATGTCGATGAAGGAGGATCATCCTCGGGTGACCTCTGATTTTATATCAAAATTTGAAAAAAAAATCGGTCCAGTAGTTTCGGAGAAAATGCGAAAAAAAATTTTATTCGTTTTTCGAATTCTACGAGTCTTCAGTAACGTGAAATTTCAAATTTTGAGAGGGGGTTATGTTTTTGAATTTTTTGGTCGATCACAATGTTTCATTATTAAAAATAATAAACCAAAAAATAATGAATAATTTATGATTTTTTTAAAAACAGAACTTAACTTAGTTTAGCTGCTCAATTGTCCTCTTTAAATAGTTTTAATTACTCTTTTTTCAATTAAAGTAAATTTTGTCTAGTTTACAGTTAAGTAATTGTTAATTACTTAAATTAAATATTTCTTTAGTTATCGCTTCCTATTCAACAAAAAATTGTACTTAATTGTTAAAAATAAATCGTGATTTTAGAACAAGCTAAATTGTTCATTCTAAAATCATGAATTGGCTGAGTGTGAAGCAGTGGTTCCAATACCTATAGCAAATATGAACATTAGAATTCAGGATATTGCTTCTGTTTCTCCACTTAAGCAATGAGTGCCTGAGACTGTAATGCCATCCCTCATTCAGCCTCCACTGTTTTTTTTTTATGAATAAAACAGTTGAGAAAGGAATCTCCTTAAGTCATATTTTGTCCTATGAAAGTAGCTAAGCTCGGCTCAGAACTCCACACATTGATTATAAATATTGTACATAAAATGATTTTTCATTTTATATGTTTAATCTTAATTTTAATATGATTTAATTTAAAATAAAAACTGATTTAATTCTAAATATTGTTATAATAAATTACACACTATAATAGATTATAGCATAAAATATTCTAGTTGAAGAATGATGAGTCAACTGCAGAATTTAGACAGCTACGCAACACAGAAATGTGTGAACTGTACCAGGTAAATATAATTGAGATGCCTTATACCTTTGCAACAAATCAAATAGGTATGTAAAATTGTGTGAAAAAACATAGTAGTGAAAAAATCCATAGAAGGTTGATAAGTGCTGACTAGTAAGCATCTGAGAGGCAAACCTAAGTGAAGACAGAAGGATTGGGTTAAGACTGATATTGTGGGATTGGGTTATGATGACAAACAGTATATTATTACTATGATTTAATTTATGTTTTTCTGTTCGTAAATATGGTAAACTTAGGTCACAATTAACCCTTACATTATCATTCAATGTGGGAATTTGTAGTATTTGACAATAAAAATAGATATCTATAAAAAAATTAGTAGTGTGCATTAGTATCAGTTGATTGATCTTGGTACATAACTAGATGATGATTATAACCTTTTTATTAACTAAATGGTCCATGAGAATAATCTGCCTTGTATATTGGTGAGTAACCGAATAGTAATATATACATGCGATCAATTTTGAGGGGGAAAGAATTTTTTTTCTTATTTCTTGGTGGATTTCTGGAATTTGTGGTGAATTGGTGGAAGTTCATTGAAACTTTTAAAATCTAATAATCCAAAATATGAGTGAGAAATCCATTATTAGTATGACCGTTGTTAGATTTCTTTTCTTCATAACTTTTTCTTTTCTTCCATTTCCAGAGGATGGGCTTATTTTTCATCAGTGGTAGTGAAATTACTCTTCATAACAAGTGCTTAATAATTGGGTTTGATGAAATATCAAGGGAGATAAAGATTACTGACAAAATACACATTTGAGAAAAATTTATAAAGAAGAACTGATAATTACGTAAATTGACAATAAAAAGGAAATAATAAAATATAAACAGATAATACCTCATGGCATAGGTCCTGTATAGATGCTAACAATGTCCTCAATACGGTGTTTATCTGCTCAAGTTCGACTATACACGAAGCGTATCTTCTTACAAATTCTTCACTTAAACCCTGAGAAAAACTTTGTCGTTTTTCAGCCTCAGCATTCATTTCCCTCAAATTATTTACCTTAGATTTTTTAACATCAAGCACCTTTTTAAGTTGCACCTTTAAAAAAATAATAATAAACAAATTAGAATAATTTAGTTCCATTATAAAATACACACACATATATAAATTTATTTATTTTCATCTAGGAGTGAATGTCTTATAATTATATTTCAACTAATACAGACATTCTAAAAATGTTTATTTTACTTATGGAGGGAATATAAAATAAACTATTAGAGCTATCTCTAATAATAAATACAAATGCTCAACTCAATATGTAAACTAAACAAAGAGATAAATCAATATTATACCTGTTAAACCTAGTAAGTGCTTCAAAAATAATTTTCCAAGAAATAAAAACAACTTCAAACTCTGGAAATTTCTTCTAAACATGACAACTAGTTATAATTGAAGTTTATGATAAATGACCAAAGATGATAGGTAATAACACTGCTAGTGGAATAAAAAATCGTTGGAGTTAGAATAGAATAAAAATGAGATTTAAGGGGATATATAACATAGTATATATATACACATGTTAGGAAATACTGGAAACCACCAGCTCAAAATTGAGGATTTACTTACTTTGATGTTGATGTTGATAGGGTGTATAAAAAAAAAAAAAATTCTTTGATATAAAATACAATTAATACCCAAAGCATAGTCCATTATAATCAACTATCATTAGTCATCTGCTGGCCAATTCTTTGGGAAGGATGTCAAAGAACTCTTGGATCGCAATTTCAACTTCCGCAAAATTATAAAATTTTTCCTCTTGAAGAAAATGGATCTAAATAAGAAGTAATCTGATGGTGTGAGATCTGGACTATATAGTGGATGAGACAGGAGTTAGAACCCAAGAAGTATGAGGACGAGCATTATCTTGGAATAAAATCCCTTTTCGGTTCATCAAAGCAGGATAATACTCTAACAACTTTGCGTACAATCTTTTGAGTTGTTCGCAGTAGAGTTCAGAATTCAAAGAGCATCCATCAGGAACAAATTCATGATGAATAACACCTTCATTCGAAATTTAAAAAAATGAAAAGCATGGATTTTTTTTTCAAATTGCCTCCTTGCAGCAACCGGAAAAGCAGTTTGACCGTGATCTAGCCATTGCTCAAGGGTATTCAGATTTCGCCAGTAAACTCACTTTTCATCAAAGGTGACAATCCAGTAAAATTTCATAGCAGAAGTGTTTTTCAATAAATGTTCACAAATTTCTAACCACTTAGCTGATTGCTAAGGAGTAAGTTCGTGAGGGACTAGACTACTGCTCTTTTTCACCTTTCCCAATGAGAGTCGATGACGACTAACAAACAGTACCTTTTGACACACCACACACTCCCTGGAAAGTTAGCGATTTTTTGTGGACAGATTTGACTCAACAGCTTCCTGCAGAACCTAATCAATACCCATTATTGGTCGCCCGGGGCCCTTCCCTTCCTTTCCAATGTTGTATCCCCACTGCTAAATTTTTCAAACCAATGCCACGCAGTGCGCTGGTCAAGGACACATTCTCTTTCATATTTAATAATTTAAGGAGTTGCTTCAGCGGCTGTGAAATTTTTTTTCCATTAATGCCTTAAAATTATGAGAATTTTATAGATAGGAAACTTGAAAACTCTTTGAAACAAATAACTAAACTGAGGCTTTTTTTGAAGAGGTCGAATGGCATTAAATTAAAGCTTAGAGAATACTCTAAAGGGATTCTTAAATATTGGTAAATATTAAACAGGATTAAAATATTTACATGAGAAGGAGTTGGTCGGGGGGGTGCATTCATATAAATACTAAATTTTTGAAAATTAATATTTTTAATTGTTACACAGACGTTTCGACCCACCTGGCAAGTCTTCATCAGGGGTACAAAAGATACAAAATATAAAAGGTACATGGTGAAAATAAAATAAATGAATTATAAGTAGATATTAAATAAGAAACAGTTGTCTGATAAAAAATAATAAGATGACATCAGAGATATAGTGGGTAACAGTGTAGTTAAAATATCAAGTATTATATATATAGAAGATACAAACAAAAATAGAAAATAAGTATGAATAAAAATAGAAAACAAAGGGAAATATAGAGTATAAGTTAAAAGTAAACAGTTTGTGATAAAAGATAAGTAATGAGTGTATAACAAACTGGTAAAGATTACATTGGATAGCTGTATGTTAACAGATAAAGAAAATGAGTGTTGAAGAATAAAGAAATTGAAAATTGAATAAGTAATGATCTAGTAAAGCTAAAATAAGAATAAGATAATATATCAGGAGATAACAAGCTAGTGGAGGTTACATTTGATCTATGCTATCAATATTACAACTCATGTTATCTTATTAATCTTTAAATTTCTTTATTTGTTAACCTTTAGCCTTGTAATCAGTTTACTTACATTTATCAAATATAACCTCCACTAGCTTGTTATGCACTGATATCTTATTATTATGTTATCTTATTGTTATTTCAGCTTTACTAGATCATTACTTATTCAATTTTCAATTTCTTTATTCGTCAACACTCATTTTCTTTATCGGTTAACCTACAGCTATCAAATGTAATCTTTACCAGTTTGTTATACACTCATTTCTTATCTTTAATCACAATCTGAATACTTTTAACTTACACGCTATATTCTCCTTTGTTTTCTATTTTTATTCATACTTATTTTCTATTTTTGTTTGTATCTTCTATATATATATATATAATACTTAATATTTTAACTATACTGTCTCTGATGTCATCTTATTATTTCTTCAACAGACAACTGTTTCTTATTTAATATCTACTTATAATTCATTTATTTTATTTTCACCAAGTACCTTTTATATTTTGTAGCCCTGATGAAGACCTGCAAGGTGGATCGAAACGTCGGCGTATCAATTAAAAATACTGTTTTTAAAAACTTTAGTTTTTATTTGACCACACCCCTTCTCCCCTCTCACCCCCCGACCAACTCCTTCTCATATTATATCACGGTCAACCATCTCTACATCATTAAAATATTTACAGTCCTTTGAAATCTGGAATTTCATAAAACGATCATTTTTTTTTTTATACACCCTATTATTTAAAACTTTTTTTTTTGTATTCTGGACATTCTCACTCTTGAATTAAAGCTTAAGATTTTTTTATAAAAAGTAAAAATTATTTAAAAAGTTTTAATTTCAAAAATAAATATTCTATTATAAAAACGGAAAATAAAATTGGTACATGCAAACAACTTAAAGGAGACCCTTGTGGGCAGATGTAAGGCTGAGAGATTATCCTCAAGCCTTGTACTATCTTATATTTTTCTTTAACATTTCCAGTTTTTTTACATTTATTAATAAGTGTGAAAATTCATAAGTTGATTTTTATTTCAATAGCAAACACGTTATAAGCGCACTAAAAGGGTGTTCTTCAAATTGTTTAGCTATAGTAGAAGAATAAAAGGATATAGTCTTTGTGAAAGGGCTTAATACTCGTGTAACTATCTGTTTGCTATAAAGTCAAATGAAACTTGATCTTCATCAGACTAATTTTGAGATAACAAGGTCAAAAATACAACCAGTAAATATGCACACATTAGAAATAATGACATGAACAGACTTGAAGAGATACCACCCAGTGCACTATGTGAAAGCAGAGCAGAACAAGGTAGAACATTTTCTGAGGTTTGTGTTATCAGAGTCCCAAAAATAGTGCAACAATGCTCTGCTTCCCTCCTTGTGAATAACCTAAAGAGGTCCAATAGCTAAAAGTAACAAACATTCTAACGGGAAGAAAATATACTGTTAAATAGTAGCTCTCTGTAACATCAAAGTGCAATTTAAGAACAATCTTTATATATTATTTCTCAAAGGTGGTTTTTTGTCGCTATGTCATAACTTTGTCAATTCTTCATCAAATCTAACGATTGAGCCCACATTTTGAAGATCTCCTTCAGGTGAAAAAATAGTCACCTCCCCCGAAATTTCTGGAAAAAAAGTTATGAAGGAAAAGAAACTTTATTTGTCAATAACTTAAAGGTATGCATTTTTTTAATAGATTGTACCCATGATTAATCAATTTGTATTTTTTAATAATATAGATAATTCTGTGATTGTTGCCTTTTTATGAATATGTTTGGTAATGTAACGTTTAAAAATAGGTATTTGAAAAGTAATTTATAGAAACTGTTTGTTAATTTAAAAGGTACCTATGATTTATATATTTGAATTTTATTTTGCATTTGTGTTGTTGTTTTTTAAGGATATTTATTTATTGGTTCAAATTTTTTTATATTTCATTGATTTTTTGTAATAAGGTAATTTTTTTTTTTTTTTTGTTGTTGATGATTATACTAAAGATATTTTTGTGTTTTTAAAAGTGAGTAATAATGAATCTACAATTAATCAAATTATATACAATTTATTTGATCCTATAATATATGTTGGATTGGCAAATAAGTCCTTTCAGTTTTTCTGTTTATTTTATGTAACTATGATACACTTCTTATCTGATGAATTAATTCCTAAGGTAAATTGTGTATCCTATTTGTAATATGTCAACAACTACATCTGTTAACTCTTGTTGAAACTAGATCAGTATTGTGTTTGCTATTGCACTGTGAATATGGAAGAAAATATCATTCATTAACAGCCTATTTTGTAGTATCATTTTAAAAAAAGTAAGCGTGCTGCTGAAGCTCATAGAAAAATTTGCAGAGTTTATGGGGATGATGCCTAAACCGAATGCACCTGTCAAAATTGGTTTGCCAAATTTCGTTCAGGAAATTTTGAGATCAACGATGCTCAACAGTCTGGTCACCCAGATGAAATTGAAACGAGCAATGTTTATTTTTTGTTTATTTAAGCATTTTTTTTTTTGTTTATTTAATGAAATTTACAACTTTTTTTTTTTTTGTTCTTCCCTACCTCGCCTTGTAGGCTATATGGGATTTTCCCGGGCCGGGGGGTGAGGGCGGGGAATCCCCTTCGGCACCGGGACGCGAACTCGTACTTTTTTATATCATCTCAAATCTCTGTTATCCGGTTGCCAGGCAACTAGCGGTGCTGTGCACACGCTTTAGC